ACTCCACACCCACCATTACCAATGGGTCAGATGGGTACATGTGCCCTGCTTTTGGAAACATGTGCTCCAGGAGATGCTGCTGATACCTACTTCTGGGATTTTGAAAACCTGCATTATTAAGTCACACACCAAGATGTGCTTCTACTGCCTTAAGCCCCCTCTCTCAGTTTTCATTAGATTTTTAAAAATACCCCTTACCACAACTATTCCATTACCTTAGAGAAATTTCCCTCCTCAGCTTTAGTGACCAGAACCTGAGCCCCTCCTTCAATTGTTAACTGTTTATGTTACTGCTTGAAACCACATACAGTCAGGCTCATACTTGGTAAAACCAGGCTTAGGAGGCAGGCAGACGGAGTCAGTGCTGCTCTGTCGGTGTCCAGGTAAATGCTTCTTGACATTGTGTTATCATTGTGTCAAGTGTATTACTCCATATCCACTAGGACCAGAGGATATAGTCTAGATTCAGAAGATGTGGGTCCTAACTCTAGCTCTGCTTCTAACTTGCTTCATCACTTGTCAAATGACCTGCCTTGGTTCCATTCCCCAAAGCAGATCTCATGTGATGTTTTAGGGCACAAGTTGCTAATTTGGGAGTTGATTCCTGGAAGTGATTGAGAAAGAGAGGATGTGACACAGAGGAGAGAAGAAATCAGGTCTATGTGCCTATATCAGCCAGTGACCACTGTGGGCACAATTCAACAGGGACTCCTAAGGGACTGTGTAGAATAGAACAAAATCATGCTGTTGGGGGGAGATAGAGTTGCCACTGGGATGTTAGCTGCCTATTAGTTTCAATCTTCCATGAGCTCTTCCAAGCAGCCCCTGAACCAGAGAACATCCTCAGGTAAAGAGATGCAGGATGCCTTTGGCTGGAGAGAAGCCATAAAGGTAAATTCCAGGGTGGACCAAGGGGAAATGGACTCTGACAGACTCTTCCATGTTCAGAAACAGCATATACATTAACTAAGAACTGAGCCTTTGGCTCTTAATGGAGAGTACTTCTTGATCAGTAAATAAATAAGGACTTTTCAAGCACTTACTTAGGGCCTAAAGAGTGCTTAGCACTTGGAGGCTCAAAGCAAGTTTCCATAGAGAGCTTAGAATATGCAGCAGACACTGAGTATTTGCCCTTTAACACACATGATCCGTGGACCCTCAGATAGTATAGCAAGGTAAGCATTATTATCGTGAAGCTCAGAGAGGTTGATTCTCTTGTCCTACAGCTGATGGAGAAATAGAGGTCCACCCATGGTCATCAACATGACAAATACCCTCTCATCAGACTAAGGTTGTGTTTGATCTCTGGTTTCTACTGCCTCTCAACTAACAAGTGAGCTTTATTAAAGTTGTAGAATAAAAGATTGATAAACAAAAAATGATTGCATTTTTATATGCCAGCAACAAATAATAGGAAATAAAAAATTGAAAAAAGCTTATATAACAGCATAAAAATATAAAATACTTAGGGATGAATCTGAAAATTGATGTGAAAGTTTCATAGACTGAAGACTGTATATTTTGCAAGGAGACATTAAAGAAGATCTAAAGAAATGAAGAGAAATATGGGTCAGGAGGCTCAACAGTTTTAAGATGTTAACTCTTCCCAAATTGATTTATAGATTCAGTGGAATCCCAATCAAAATTCCAGTGGGCTTTTTTTTTTAAAAAGAAATTGACAAACTGATTCTAAAATTCATACAGAAGTGCAAAGGACCTAGAAAAGCCATAATAACTTTAAAAAGAAGAAAGTTGAAGTAGGACTGATTTCAAGACTTATTACAGGGTTTATCATCCATGACTCTGCTCAGAAGGAAACTGTTCAACTGCCCCCCACCCCTGCCCCCGCCCCCGTCTGGGTGAAAGAACTTGCTGGATGCACAGAGGTTGGAGACTGGGTGGGACTGGGCAGGAACCCAGTCTCATCCGTGCATTCCCATGGGATTCAAATGGAATCATGTCTGCAAGAACAGTTTTGTGAATGGTGTTTTAGTCCTTAAGTCGTGTCCAACTCTTGGGACCCCATGAACTGAAGCCTGCCAGTCTCCTCTGTCCATGGGATTCTCCGGGCAAGAACACTGGAGTGGGTTGCCATTTCTTTCTCCAGGGGATCTTCCTGACCCAGGAATCAAACCCAGGTCTCCTGCAATGTAGGCAGATTCCTTACAGACTGAGCTACGAGCTCTCGTGAATAAAAATACACAAATGAATGGAAGGAATTAATCTTTCTCATTTCCGGTGGGTCCATTCAAGAAAATATTTGTGTTTCAATTTTTTTTCACAAGCTCCTATTGTACTCTTTGATCTCCTTCTGTGTTTCAAAAGTAAGTCAATTGCCCAGTCCACCCGTCCACACTTCCAGGATCATTTCAGTTTATACTGAAGTCTCCAGTTTTAAAACCAAGTCTTCAGATTTGATTTTCAGCAGGCAGTTGCCAATGGCCCACTCTAGCTAGAAAGAGCTCCTGGAACAGAAGGCCAGCTTTCAGCCTGGACAATAATTGTCTCAATAGCAGAATATATAGGTAGATATGAACTGTCTGAATAAAGATATTCAAGACAATTTTTCCCTCTGTTGGTTTATTTTTTTAAAAAATCTCTCACCATATTATGGTGCATTTTTCTCTTTACTAGTTTCTTTAAGATTTATGAATTTCACCCAGCAGTGTGTGTGTGTGTGTGTGTGTGTGTGTATGTGTTGGTGTGTGTTGAGTTTTTATACCTATCTCTTTGTGTTGGTAGGGTAGAAATGTGCAGACAATGTATTAACAGGAGAAAAAATATCTCAAGAAAGGTCTTGGACACATTTAATAATATCGATAATATTCTATGGTAAAACATAACTGCAGGATCAAGATGTATGTACATATTTGCTTACTAAATTGATCATGATTTCTGGTAGAAAAGGTGAAACACAATTTACCTGCTAAGGATTTTGAACATGCCCTGGGTTTGATATTTGTGTTTATATTTTTAAAAGGGAAATAATTTCATGTATCTAAGATTTGTTTAGAAAACTGCCAACTAAACTATATTCACAGCCATTTCCTACAGAAACTGGCCTTCTCTTGACACACACTTGCCTTAGCTGATGCTAACACAGGGGGAAGGACTTCATTTGGGAATTTCCTTTCTTTCAAAGACTAGTTTCAAACTGAAAAAATTTTAAATGCTGGTTGACAGATTCCTACCTACACCACCCCCTCTAGAGGCAGGGGGGCGCTCTTTTGTTTCTTGTTCTGCGGGTGTTTTCGATCCTGATTGCTGAGAACTAATTACCCTCCTTTGTGCCACTAAACCAACTTCTTATGAGCCTTTTTTTTCTTTCATTGTATGGAATCAAATTATATGAACTCATTTAATTGGTTTATTCTTTTGAAAAAAATAATCCATCTAATAGAAATAGGGGAAGAGGAAGAAAACTAGAAAATAAAACCAGTTTCTAAAAACTTTAGCGTGAAACACATGGATTATTTTTAAAAAGAAAACCTCAAATTAAGGATTTAATTGAAAAAAATCCTTTATTTTCTTTTCTTCGCAACTATAATCATGCAAAAAGCAAGAGAGAGCCCCCTTTGAGTTGGGGAGAAAGTTGTTCTTTGAAATGACTTCAGGGATATGATTTCATCTGTATTTCAAACGCATTAATTTCAGACCGTCCACAGGAGGTAATCAAGATGCATAGATTCAGGTCAAATTCACCCTCCGGAAAAACTGCAAATTAAGATGCTGTTGATTGATAACGCCATCGGCTGTCTTAATCGTCGTGATGAAAATCCAAATAGTCAGGAAAGGGGCCCAGGAGGGTTGCGTTTGAGCTCTAAACAAACCCTCGACCAAATTCGGAAGTCAAGCCGGTGCTTTTCCAAACCTTTTTCCAGGCCGCGTGGGGCTAGAAGAGACCCCACCAGCCCGCGTGGGGCTCGAAGTGTTTCTTGAGTGGTTCCACACCCTCCCCCGTCCCACAGACAGACACCCCGACCCCGCGAAAGGATCTCTAGGCTGGCAAAACACGCGGCGGCGTGTTGGGTCCCAATAACTTGCAGGATGATTAATGAGAGGCTTGATCATTTAATATCGCGTGTGATTAAATTATAAGGCGTGGGGGAGGGGAGTCTGGGCCGACGCCGCCGAGCGAGCGGGTCTCGGCTGCGCGCAAAGCCGCGTTTATCCTCCGCGCTGCGCCCGGCGAGGCTCGGCGAGAGGCTGGTCCGCGCCTTCCCAAGGTCAGTGGGTCTCGGGAGGGAGCGCGGCGGGGCGGGGTTCGGGGGAGGGTGGCTCGTAGAGGGGAGGGGAGCTTGCGCCCCGGGCTGCCCGGGTCTGAGTCGGAGAGCTGAGCGACCAGGCGGCTCTTCCCTGGTCAAAGGCGCGGAGGGGTCGGGAAATGGCCCGAGTCAAGCGGAGGTGTTTCTTACCTTCCCGCCTCCACGGTCCCAGGGGCCTGGGGAGTCCCTGGGACTCCGCGACCACTGGGAAAAGGGGGTGGGGGTGGGGTGGGGACTGACCCCGCGGGGTCTCTTCCTGCCCCCCCGCCCCTGGCTCCTGGGTTTGGGGAGGGTTTCCCTGCCGGCGGGGCAGTGGCGGACGACGGGTTGAGCCATCGGAGCCTCCTCTTCCCCCAGCCGAGGCCCCCAGCGCCGTCCCGCGCATACGGGGCGGGGTGCGTACCCCTGGGTCCAGGCGCGTCCAGGACAGATAGGCTTTCACGCTGCGCAGGAGCCCTCTGCTGCAGGAGAGCCCCTCCAGGCTGACCAAAAAACGCAGGGCGCATTTGGGGTTCCTGGCTTCACGTACTGGGGAGGAGGAGAGGAAATGAGCTCTAAGCCCCTTCGAGGTTACTGGGGGCGGTGGAGGGGGGGGACTCCTAGCTGTCACCCCCTTCACCTTAAAGGCCCGTGGCCAGGCTCGAGCGTGGCCATCCCTTCCTGCGGGGGAAGTGGGAGTGCAGGTTTGGAGGCGACCGGCCTGCGTTGACCTGCGCGGGGAAGGGGCCCGCTGTCTTAGCGCTGTCGCCGGCGCCCAGGCGGGGTCCTGCCCCGAGCCAGGCAGGCGCTGCTAGTGCTACAGGCGGGCAGAGCGCCCGGGGGCTGCGCGGGGACCGCGGTCTCGAAGGGGGACCCGACAGGCCACTGACAGGCATTGGAAGCGTGGCCTCTCACTTCACGATCGCGTCGTGGGGGCTTCACGCTTAGCCGGGAGAGGCCCTCGAGAGGCGGGATGTGTGTTCCCAAGAGCCTCCACCCGGGGCGATACAGACGCTGAGCAGGAGAGCGAGGAGGAAGCACCATGATCCGGCTCCGGAGGGCCCGGGCGTCCAGGTCGTGCCCGGGGCCTGGCCGGAGGACCGGTGCTGGCTGGATTTTCAGCCTGACGACGAATCCTGGAGGGGACGCCGCGGGCTGAACCCAGGCTCCCGCTTTCCTTCTGCCGGAGAGCCCCGAGATTGCGCCAGAAGCGACCGCCTGGGGTCCGGTGGCCTGGGCTCCAAGTGCGGTGGCAGAACCGCCTCCTAGAATGGGCTGGAAGCTTCCTCGGCGCGGCTGCTCCGACTTGCGAAATTCCCATCCGGCCTCAGCTTCTCAGCGCCAAGAAAGGGAGGGAATGATGAACAACCAAATGGACTTGTAAACAGAGATCACAGGACGGGGTGGGTGAGAGGCAATACCTATTTTGTCTCAAAACACCCCAAGAGAATATTAAAACACAAAAACGAACAAAACTTCCCTGGTAGCTCAGCTCGTAAAGAATCTGCCCGCAAGGCAGGAGACCCCGACTCTATTCCTGGATTGGGAAGTTCCCCTGGAGAAGGGGTAGGCTACCCACGCCAGCGTTCTTGGGTTTCCCTGGTGGCTCAGACAGTAAAGAATCTGCCTGCAATGCAGCAGACCTGGGTTCGATCCCTGGGTTGGGAAGATCCCCGGGAGGAGGGCATGGCAACCTGCTCCAGTATTCTTGCCTGGAGAATCCCATGGACAGAGAAGCCTGGCGAGCTACAGTCCTTGGGGTTGCAAAGTCTTGCAGGACTGTGGGACTAAGCACAGCGCAGCACATAGCAGAAACAATCCACAAATTGGTTCTGGTAGGCTCAGCCTGAAACGCCTCTATTAGCACAGTGTACCTACAATTCCTGGTTATCTGGGACACACCCCACCCCCCAAAAATTACTTAAGAAAAAAAGTTCAAAGGGTGGGATGGGGTGAAGTAATAGACCAGAAGCTTTATCTCTTCCTTGGCTGCAGGCGTGGCCCTGGAGGTGCCTTTCTCTGGGGTGGAACTGGTCCAGACTTGAACGCGCTCTCTTCAGACCCCCCAGGCTCTCCAGAGGAGGCTGCTGCCTTCCTAGGGCTGGCTTAATGAGTAAAAAGAGGTGCCTGCCTCTGCCACCGGGAGTCATTCCGCAGAGAGGTGACCTCAGGTACCACCAGTGTGAGCCCTGGTGCTCCAGCCCAGGCACCCACCTGCTCCAATGTCGGACATGGAGGTTGTGGGCTGCCCTTTGTCTCTGTTCATAAAATCATTCCTTAAATCTGTTCCTCGTCCGTGCGTCTCTCAGACACATGCTGAACCCCTGCATCTGGCTGCCACCAAACATAGTGGCTGGGCCAACAGAACGGGTTAAAAGCTCAGGGCCAACTTTTTCCTCCAAAAGAGGCCACATGCCAAGTGAATAATGGGCACTTCCCGGCTACTCTCATCTTCCCCAGGTATTAAATTTGAGTTCTGGAAACCCGACTCAGAAGATCCTAGACATAAGTGTGTGCTTGGAAAGAAGGACTCTGCACCCTCAGTATTAATATTAACCTGGGGGGGGGGGGTGGTGGTGGTGGTGGTGAGGAGAGCCAAGCTAGGTTCTCCTTCTCACATTATGGTCAATCTGTTGTCTGACTAAAGGAAGCCAGGACACTGTGAGGGAGAGGGCAGTCTCCAGTTTCAAACGACTCCCCAAGGTTCGAGAGGAGGAAGTTACTTTTATTCTTTCATCCACAAGATGACTCGTGTCTAGTGATGTCGGCCACCTGCAAAATGATGTCTAAGTTGCTGGCGCACCGGGTGGCTGTTGTCGGTCCAGCGTGCCAGGACGGGAGTCCAGCGGCCTCTTCGCGGCCTCTCCGCGGCCTCTCCAGGGCGAGTTTGCGCATTCATTTCACCCCTGGCTCTCAGCCCCGCTGCCGAACACCATTTAGGCCAAGATCGGGTATAATGGGACACACTATCAGCAGACAATTACCCTTTCAGAGGATTCGCTTCTCCACACAGACACTGTTATTTGAGAAATAGGATCGTTTGATTTCATATTGCACTAAATAACACCCAGCCGGTTCAAATTGCCAGCTTCTTAAAAGCCGCCCATTGGAATAAATTGCGGCGGCCTCTTTTGCTTTTCAGGGCAGTATGTTGGGCCCCGGGCAGAACCCATAAAAAGAACTATAGAGCCAGCCCGGAGCCGTCACTATTGGTGGCAAACAGCTCTGCCACCTCGCAGGCAAAGGCATTCAGTAGCCACCGGTGTCCCGCCGCCGCCCTCTCCGCCCGCTAACTTAGAGATGGTTCAACCTCTTGGCTTTGGGATTAAAATGCGCATCCCCAGCCGCGCGGAGAAACTGCTTCGGGCCACCCGGCACAATAGTGTCGAACGGAGAAAGGTCCGCAGAGGCGCACAGCCCAGATCTCTGCCCTCCCGGCCCGACGTCCTGGGAAAACGCCGGGGGTCTGGGGCTTCGCGGCTGGTGTGCGCCCTTAGCTTCGCGGGTCTAGGGGTCCTGGCTGGAGCGTCACTGCCGCCGCGCTCTGGTCCCTAGGGCGCCCTGCGGGCCGCGGCGCGTCTCTCTGTCCTGTTAGGAGCCGTGACTTTCGGGGTCCGACTGGGGACAGAAAGAAGAAGGGGGCCTCATTTGACTTCAGCGCGGAGTGGAGAGGGAGAGATCGAGGACGAAGGGAAATGGGAGAAGGGGGCGAGATCCAGTTGGCTGCCCACGCACCGCCGCCGGAGACGTTTCAATAAGAATTGAGCTTTCTGAAGTTGGCCACGAGCTGCGGTTTAATTGACACTCTGTTCAACTGGGTGGCAATTGTTCAGCTTGTCGGGGGCGATCCGCCCCCACCCCTTCACATACAACAAGATTTGACTCCTCGGTGCTCGGTTCATTTGTGCCAAGGGACAGGGTGAATTTAATACGGCCGGGGCCTTGGAGAAGCTGTCTTTTGAAGTCTTTAATACCTTTGTGTTAATGTACTTCACCGAAGGCCGAATTAGATTCTCCCGCCCCCAGGTAAATTGGAGGCCGCATCACAGGAGTGCCCAGAGACACCTGTACACTGAGATCTGGGCCGTGAGCTGGAGGGAACCTTTGATGGGTTCCTGGGACGCAGAGGGAGTTAGTCTGGGCTTTTAGGGACTGGTGACCCGGGTGGGGTGTCGGACTTTTTCCCTTCCCTGGCGCAGGGAGGAGCCAGGAGCAGGGGGTTGTGGGCCTGCGTCTAAAGGGAAGGCTATGGGCGCCCAGAAAGTGGAAACTAAGGGGAAACGCTGCGATTGGTGCAGACTTTAGCTCCGGAACCGACTGGGGGGTTGAGGGCAAAGTGTGGGCGCCCACCCTTGACAGAGTGATGGGGGCCCGAGTGTGCCGCACCTGGCACTGGTCCTTGTCCTGCGAGCCCTGAGACTCCCTGCTCCTTAGCGTGTAACTCAGTCACCCATCTCCCTAGAAAATAAAAGCGCCTCCCCAAAGGCCCGAGTGCACCCAACCCAGATCCCGGGCCACGATTGGGCCGTGGGCCTCCCGACCAGCACTCCAGGCCTGGGAGGGCGCCGCGCAGAAGCTGCTTCCCACGCCCCCAGCTCTGGCCCTGCCTGTGCGGGTCCAAGGCAGGCCCGGGGCTGTCCACCCGAGCCCAGGAAGACCCCCGGATCTGCTCCATCCAGGTCCCTCCCCCGCGGCGCTCGCGTCCTCACTGAGCGCGGCACTCTGACCTAGCTCCCCACCTCCTCCCCGAAGGAATGCAGCCAAGCAACACTTTTCTCGGCCAAAAAAAAAAAAAAAATCGCCCAAACGAGACATCTTTTCGAGTAGACAGGAGCAAGGTGATGAAATTCATAACCGCCCGGAAATAGGTCTTGGCTGGCTCCCATCTTCGCTGTCGGCGGGAATGGAACCGCAGAGCCTTGCGGGGAACGATCGCAGGACGGTCTGCGCCACTCGGACCCGGGGCCGGAGCCCTAGAGCTGGCGGAGGCTGCTGCCCGGCGGGCTGTGTCTCTGAGGCCCCCGCAGGGGACTCCCGGGACCAGGGGACCCCGGGACCGCGTGGCTGGGCCTCTCCCTCCGCGCGCACCTCTTTCCGACCCGAGCAAGGCAGCGCGGTTGACATCCAGCCCCGGGTGGGGATGACTGGAATCCTCCCTGTGCCGGCTTGGGGACCCGAGGTGAGGGCGATGAGACCCCCGTCGTCGCGTGGCTCACTTCGGCTCCGGCCTCGGGTGCTGGCCGCGGCTTGCGGGTCATCCCCTCGCTAGCCCTACCCGCCCCGGCCGGGTTCACGGCCGCAGTGCGGGGCCCCGCGCTCCCCTCCCTCGCGCGCTGTTCCTCCACTTCGCCGTTTACCAGCGCGTTTTGTTCCCCTTCGGATTCCGGGCCGAGGGGCTGTCACCGTGCTCTCCTCCGACGGACGCTAATCAAGTAATTTCCCCATCCCAGCCCCATCAAATTGCTCTTTAGCTGTTGAACCGCGGAGTTTTGCTCGTCTTTTCACATGCTAATCACGCCCATTCAGCGGCTCTCGGTGGGGCTGTTTGTCGCGGGATAAATCTCCTTGTTTGCCGGCTGCATGATTAATTGATATTGTTGTCTGGCTTTTGTGGGGGCCGTGAGGAGCTGAAAGGCGGCGCGTCGTGACTGCGCCGGGGGGCCGCTGGCGACATCGTCGGGCCGCCGGGGTCCCGGCGAGGTCGAGCCGGGGCCGATGACATTATGCGCCCGATTTTTTTTTCCTTATTAGAAAGATGATGAAAGACTCAGAGACCCCAGGTTTACAACCCACCACCCGGGCTGAGAAGCCGCACAGAGCTGAAGCCACAAGCGCAAACAAAGCCTGGGCGTTTGCTCAGTTCAGAGAGAAAAGTGAGCTCACTTCTCCACGCAGGAGTCGATTAAATAAGTTTCGGCCCACCCGGGATTTCAGTAGGAGTTGGACGGGCGCGCTTCGCGTGGTGGTTTGGTTTTTCAAGCAAAGAATAAAATCTGATTTTGTTTGTTTGCTTTTGGTTGGTTGGTTGATTTTGCTGTTTTTTGGTTGGGGTTAAAACCTTTACAAGATAGTAAAAGGAACCCAGAACTCAGACGGAGACCTTGCAGCCACCGGTCCACCGACGTAAAGGCGCTTCTATGTCTGACCCGGGTTTGCCAAGTGCGTGGGGCTCACGCGGAATCGCGCACCAGCGCTGAATCCACGGAATCGCTAAGGTCCGCGTCCGCCGGCAGGCGCGTGTTTCATCTGCTAGCACCCGTCTCTACCCATGGCCGTGTTTCCAGCCGTTCGCAGTTGTGCAGCCAAACCCACAAATTCCTGCGCCCTTCACGTCCCTCCCGTCCCTCTCCTCCGAGTCCTGGGGTTTTATCCTCTACGGACAACCCTGAAAACTTGGAGATTCAATTAAATAATTCCAGTTACGCGGTGCTCCTACCGCCTGCTTATTGCAAATATTTCCTTTTTTCGAGTTCTTAAAAAAAAAAAAAAGCAAAGAGAAGAAAAGAAACTGTCGCCTTCGCTTTCACTGCGCGCAGGGTAATTGATAGGCGCCATCGGAGGTCAGAATTTGCATAAGAATTAAGAGCAGTAAATTAATTTAATATTCCATGCACATCTCCAATTATTCCTGGAGACCTTTGTCTCCGCGGCTGCCAGAGAGGGGATTCAGCTGGTCTTCAGCCAAACAACATCTGTGCGGTTAATAATTTGATAAACAGCTCATACAAATAGTTTCTGAATTATCTGGCAGTCCAGTGACTATTGTTTGGAAACGTTTTGGCAGGGTCTTCCTGCGTTCTCCAAGGGCTTCAGGCGTCCGCCTAGACAAATGTCTTCTTATCTTTCAAACATCAGCAGACGACAGTGTGTAAAATAAGTCATTAAGTAATAACCCTGCCCCTTAAAAAAAATAAAAAATAAAAACGCCTGGGTCGTCAGGGTGTGGGTAGGTCGTGTATTAAAGACCCTGAGATGGAAAGACGTCCCGGGGAGGCGGATAGAGTGAAGGGAGGATGTGAGTGTTGGAGGGGGACTGGGGGGTGAGGAGTCTGGTGGTGGAGACTGTTTTCCTTTAATATCATGGATTGAAACTGAGCAATTGGATTTGTGCATGGAAATATTTACAGGGCAGGGGAGAGTCATGGTGGGGAACCAGGAAGGTGGGTGGGAAGGGGACAGGTTTTCACCATATCGCTTCTTGTACCTTTCAATGGTCTCCTTATCTATGCATATTATTTATTGCAAAAATAAAATACATAAGCCACAAATTGAGTTTTCACAGCAGGAGTGAGTTGTTTTGACTGGACTAAGTCCTTACCTGACTTCCTCCCATTTCTCCTCCTGACCACACTCTCTTCTTCTTACCTTCATCCACATCCAATCCCAGTCCCCCCGACCCCAAACCAGTTTTCCACAAGGCACAAACATGTCAGCCAAAACACTGAGTTGGCCCATAATTAAAAAACAAACGACTACAAAAAGAACACTTGCAGAATGATGCCATCTTGTTGAAACAAACCTGAACTGACACATTGCCTCCTCTTCCCCTGTCTCTACACTAAAGATATCATGGCTGTGATTACGTCCCTTTATCTTTCTGCCACCCATCACAGAGCCCTGTTCCTGATATAGGGTCTAGAAAGGAACCCTTTGATCTTGGATGGGACCCAGACTACTCTAATTTTTGCAACTGTGCATTGCAGCTCAATTTACTCCATATCTGTCTATATCCTGGAATTGTTCTGCACTGACTTCACTGTAACAGGGTGTTCTGCCAGGATTCTTATCTCTGTCTATACATTCCTACACGTTTGATGTATACACCGCACCCATTCAGTATTCTACTTTCTATTTCCTGCATTGCTGACCATATAAGTACTTAAAGCCACTGAAAACTACTCCCAAGTTCTGAGTGGTGTCAAAGCAGTAATATGATAGAGCTTTGTCCTTGCACTCTAACGAGCCTAGGGTAGCACTGAGCTTTAAATACAGGCAAACCCTTCAGATTACAGGTCTAAATATACAACTTTACAATGAATACAATGCTTGCCTGGGCTCAATGGAGGAATTACTTTCCAAGAAAACAAGTCATTGTGTCACAAGAATACTATAGCATTACTACCAAGTACCTTCATTTCTATTTTTACCGTTTTCTTCTTGCATTGCATTAATTTTTTTCCCCCTTAGAACTATAGACACTGCCAGGACTTGCAGGCTTTTTATAAGCATACAAATCGGCTCTGTTATTTATGACTGGGGAGGGTCTCTGTCTGCATCTTTTTTTATTAATTTCTGACTTTGATTCAGACTTCTCTAGTCAGCGGAGTGATTTGAAAACATTTCTTTTCTTAAATGGAACATTATCAATTCTTTGGGGAACCATTCTAATTTTAAACACCAACATATTCAGTTTCTTAATCTGTAGCTCTGATGTTACTCATTTTTATGCATCCAACCTATCCCCTTTGGCGGTAGTTCGTTTATGCCTGATATTTATCTTCTTTACATTTGTTTGACTATTTTTCAAAGCAGTATATAGGCAGAAAATGGCTATTAAACAGGAAGGCAGGGAACTCTGATTATGTTTTTAACTCTCTAAGTAAAGCCACAGAACACTGACATTTTGAGAAATTTTTTTTTTGAAACTAATGAGCCCTCTCCAGAAAAGCCGTCTGTATACCATTAAAGTTGATGAGTTTGGAAGGATTATCCTGATAAATGCTTGGCTTCTTGGTGATTAGACACATACTTTCAACACAAATGAGACTGGGGTATGCATTTGGAGGGGCTTTTGCTGAGCATCATGGGAAATTGTTAGGGGAGGAAAAATCCAGAGTACCACCTGACTTTGTAGAGTTCAATTCAAAGGTAACTGCACCCATGTATACTTGCACTGAAAATATTAGATGTACAGTAACAGGTGATGGTCAATAACTTAAACAACACACACCCTGGTTATTTCCAACCTAACTGTAGTATAAATATATATATATGTATATATATGTGTGTGTGTGTGTGTGTGTATATATATATATATATTCTTAAGAGATGTTAAATAATGGCCAAGGGGCAGATTAATGATTCAAAAACTCAGTGCTATTTCTATCAAGAATAAAAGGTTTACTTTTTAAGTCTGAGGGATAAGAACAGTGTGGAGCCATCAAACAGATTCTTTCAAGTCATTTGCTTCCACTGCCCTTAAAAAAAGAGACAATTTTTACATATATGACCCAATTCTAGTGAAAAACTGAATTTCAAAAAATACAGGTTAGCATGTAAAAGTTGTGAACAGCATTCACTTAGTCCCGTCTCCTCTCATTTTTCTTCTGTTTTAATATTTCAGTGACCTGTGCTGGGTGTTGATGCTGGGTGGGCTGCAATGAGCTGATACCACTTAGCTTGTGTGTGGATAACGGCAAACCAAGAACAAGTCTGAGTTCCTCAGAGATGACTATAATGTCCCTGATCATCACGGATGTCAGCCAGACCCACAGTTATTTCTTTTCTCTCCCTAACCTGGACTTGTGATACAACTGACAGTTTGAAAAACCTCACCTAACTCCAGGGGTGCTCTTCACATCACTGCCATTGCAGACTTATATGGTTTTTAAGACATTGTTATGCTGAATGGCAGGCAATCAATTTCCTTGAGGAAGAGAGCGGATCATTGTTTACTTTTAGAAATTTGGGACAGGTAAATTGGGAGATTGGGGTTGACATATACACACTACTATATATAAAATAGATAACGAAGAGCAATCTACTTTATAGCACAGGGAACTTGACTCAGTGCTCTGTAGTGACCTCTATGGGGAAAGAATCTAAAGAAGAGTGGATATTTGCTTACGCATAACTGATACACTTTGCTGCACACCTGAAACTAACACAACATTATAAATCAACTATACTCCAATAAAAATTAATTTTAAAAAACTTGTACTAAGGGCCAACATGGACTAACAGTGAGGCTGGTTGTCTCTGCTTAGAAGGGAGGGACACAGGCAGTAGAGATTGTGGGCCCTATGCCAATTGACTTGTCCTGAAAGTTCAATCTAGCAGCCTAGTATGGACTGAACTCGAGAGGGGTTCCAAAAGCATTCTGCTTTACTGACTCTGTGACATGGGGAGGTGGACTCTGCAGCACATCAGACTCTTATTAAGCATAACATTTGAGACCAGCCACAGTCAGGGCTGGAATCAGTGTGGGGGCAGAAGGGAAAAAAAAGAAAGGAGGGCAGAGGCTTGTAGTTCTAGCTGTCCACTAACTAGCTTCAGGCACTTGGGCAATCACGCAATACGCTTTTGTCAGAGATTCCTGTGTGCTACAAATCACGAATTTATTCTCTTCTTGCTGGGCATATGGCTGCTCATCTG